TGCTTCGGCACGACTATATGCCCGTCCCACTCCTTAAAGTTCGGGAGAAACTTTATCTTGACGGGTGAACTTCTCGATACAAGAGAGATTCCCGAGTTGATACGCGTAGAAATTGATGCTATTCCGAGTGTCGTTTCAGCCAATTCTGGGTCCGCAAATAAAAACGTCGGAATAAAAAAAATCACGGGATTTTTATACAATCGAAAGTGATCAAGCGTAATCAAACCGCGATTCATCATAATTTTTGTGGATAACTCACTCGATATTTTCATCGTGAGAGAACCCGTCTTTATTAAACGAGATCTTTTTTTCGTGTCTGTTATTCATCGTAATTCTTGTCGGATGGAGAAATCAGTCTCTTAACGACTCTTTTTCAATTCCTTATTCTCTTTTTTTCGAATCGTCGTTTGGTTCGATTCCGATGCCGCAATTTGCGTTCATTATCCGTCTTGTTCGATGAGAAGATTGGTCGAATTATTATTGGTCTAACTGCGTCTTTCTACGTTCTCACTCCGAGATGACGAGAGAATCATATAAAATTACTCGTATCAGCAAAATATTGTATCCTCCGTGTGTAAAATATAGATTTTCAATTTATATACTAGTTTTGATCGATCTTACACGCTGTATCTTTGGATTATTAATTTGTTAACACACGTCGTGTGTTCACGCCGCGAATATCATCTAAAGGAACACACCAGGAATTTCTCGCAATACTTGCCAACAAGATGGTTCATATCGCTTTACTCTCGCCGTTAGATCGAAGCGTCCGAACCCCTTCAAATTGTGTTTGGTCGGCCATATTTTTCTAGGAAGCCAGCAAGAGGGGTGAAATCGCTTTCATCATCGTGGAGAGAAGGCGAGATGCTGGATGGAGGGCGACGCAGGCTGGCAAGGGCGGGTGAGGGGTCACCCAATCAACCCCCAGCAAGCCACGTCTTACCCTCTCTCTGCAAAGTTATCTTTCTTGCCCCTGCTCCGAACACAGTTAGAGGGTACCCTCGAAATTCCTAACTATTGACCGAACCACTCTCAACCGTCGTAACGATCAATCGCTGCTCGCGTTACTAAGACGCGAGTTTCTTTTTAATATCTCTCGCTCGCATATGTACGTCACGACAATGCAGAACAAATGTGTAATAAAACACAAAAGAGCGATTAGAAACAGAATATACAAGTAGATGATTTTTGTATATTGTCAAAACTTTATGTGTGCAATTTTTGTAATTGTAATAAAAACATATTCCATATGCGTCACTGCAAATCTTTCTTTTGTTCAACAAGTTGCTGTGTTTGTTAAAAGTCTAAAATCTGCGCTTTTTTTCTCTTTCTCGTGTCTAATTACACACCTATCTTGAATATTACACGATATTTATACACAAATGTTATCTATATTCTACAAACAGCGCTAACGTAGCGACATTTGTTAAAAAATAAAAAAATCAAACATTTGAAAAACGCGTTACGCTGATTGCTCGCTAACACACGTAAACAAGTGAAACAGCACTTTCGATTTCGGAACGAACCTATTACGCACCAATCGATTTTCCGCATCCAATCAGCATGAGTAGCCAAACTCAGAGAGCGATAATGTCATTTCCACATTTCGTGAGTGTCTAGCAAAGTTATTCCATATAAACTTTCGGTGTGTCTGTGCTTACCCGTTTTCAATCTCTCGCGGAACCTTCAAACTTTCGCCATAGATTTTACTGCACCGGGAAAAATAAGAAGAGTCTCCCCTAGAGCTCTAGTCTCGTGAAAGTAGCGAACTGCCGCGCAGTATTTCGTGACGACGTTTCGCGTTAACTTACTTCGATGTAACGTTTCGCGAACGGCGATGGAGCGACAAATTTATGAAGCTCTCGCGTCATTTTTCGATTCTCTTAATTCTTCGCGACTTCGTTTTTTGTTCAATCTCACGGAGAGTCGCATACGTTGCGGTCTTTACGCTCTGTCAGATCGCACAGAGAAGACGCGCGGATAGATATAATGGTCGGTAGGACGAATCATGAAATATCAATGACCGTGTCGCACAACTGTCCGGCGAAGCGTCAATAATTCGAGCCTACCTACTAACATCTCTAATTTCCTTGATATTCGCATCGAAGGGTCCTTCCGCTCGAGAAACTTAAGGATGCCAGAAATACCTCTCCGCTAAGGTATAGACGCCTTGCAGGGTGGGCCTGCAGGACTTGTGTATTAATTTCATATCCCTTCCGCCGTCTGACGCTGGGACTACGTTCAATCATCTATTTATTGCCGGTCGCGTCCAATCCGGTAATGTTCCGTCTCTCTCTTTCTCACTTCCCGAGATATCGCATAGATGCGAAGGAGTGGCGACAGGTCGTTAATTTCCACTAGCATCCCATTAAGCATCCCTGATGGAAAACGTATCACGGAATCTCACCTGTAGAGCTACTATATGTAACGAGCTTCGATAAGCTTGTCGATTAAAGGTCATCATTTGATATATTTATTGTATAATTGTTATTTATATTGTTATAATTAATTAAGTATCTATAATTGAAAAAAGTGATTTAAGCATGAATATGTTTTAAATTAAACTATAACTCAGCATAAATTAATAAAGTAAGTTAATCATGTAATATTATTAGTCAATTCTAAAATAATTATACTTGTACGTAATACCGAGAGTAAACAAATTTTAAAAAGAATTAAAATGTCAAATGTCAAATCGAATAATAACGTGAACGTGAACTGAAATCGAATAAAACTTTTTCGATTAAACTTTTGTGAAGATGGGAAAAGACAATTGTCTATACGCAATCGAAAATATAAACATATTCGGCGAACGAAACTCGGCGATCGAAGTAACCACCGAACGTGTAGCGTTTGCAAGCGGTCCCTGCGGAGCTTTGCGTGACCGGCGGCGCGGTAAACGTAGAAATCCCGAAACGGAAATCTCGGAAAGCGTAGCGGAGAATTGGGACAACGCGCCCTTCGAAGTATCACCCGTCCGACGCAAAGTTGGACGCGCCCTATTAGCGAAAACGAGCCGGTTCCTTGCTTCTAACTGCGAATGTGCCGCACACCGAACACCGTAAAGGAATTTGCGGTCCGAGTTGCTACGCTCTTCGAGATCTGCAGCGACCTTTTCACCCTACACCTTGGGCCGCTGCTATCCTCCGCCGTTGCCATCTTCCCCCCTCCCTCCTCCCGTCTTCTCCCGAAGCTTTTGCCTCAGCCCCGATCATCCGTAGCTCCCAGTCACCCCAAGGCTAGTTTCTCCCTGGAACCCTTAAGCCCAACTATCCGCACAAGTTGGAATCTGTAGGTACCTACGCCGCGACGAAGCTACAAACTCGCCCCTTTCGCAGCAAGCTCCATTGCTCGATATAGCACGCGCGTTCAAGATTTCGCTATTAGTTTAGTTGATCTCCGATGGTCAAGCGGTGTGAATCGTAAACATAACATGGTAGAATAAATAAATTTTTTTTTTATTGACATAACGATAAATTTAAAATCTTATAAAAGAGAAAGAGAGAAAAAAATGTAGCACGAAAAATTAGTAATTAAGACGGCGATTAAGTATACACGTTTCGTAAGAGGAAAGAGATTAAATAGGATGAAGGAAGGACCTGAATTGAGGGGAAACATAAAGCTATCCCGTGGGATTCAAGGAACAAGTCTACATCTAAAGCGCGCAAATACAATCGCGATCCTTCCTCTCGCAATCTTTCGGCGAAGAGGCAATTTCGGAGAACGGAAAGGGGATCTTAACGGTTAATCTTACTAATCTTCAACGATTGTTCCAACCTCTGACAGCAAGGCTGCACGATGATCGGTCGAAACCGCGGTCTAACGTTATCACGAATCTGTCAGTCGTGAACGATGTCGGATACAAAATATATTCGTTATCATCTTTATATTTTTTTATTGATAAATATTTTTATAAGCATAAGTAGATCAGCTAATGATGTTGCAAAGATGTATATTTTAACGAGATATCGTTGTTTTGTAATTTTGCACCGATTCTGATTACGTCGAAAAAAATAGCGGTGACGTATATTGACGCAAAAGATAACATGCAGTCGTAAATTAGCACATGAGTGCATCAAATAACGCCTGTCATTGGTCAAGATACTGTTGGAGCAACTTTAGATGTGCTAGACATTCATCAATTATATGCGACGCAAAATATACATTTTTCATGTACAATTGCTTTAATAATACTGCTTGTTACAGTATAATTGTATAGAGTCGCACTCTTATTTTATTATTCTACTTTAAAAAAATAATAATCTATGAAAATAATATAAGTAGATTAAATACAAGATCAATTGTGCGGCAAGTCAAAGTGTATCGCATTGAATTTCGTAACTCGCAGAACTGATAAACACATTTTGTAACACTATTTTTCGAACCCCAGCAGAGATGCATTTATCGAAAAACTAAGAAAGATTGTAGTGTAGTTATCGTCAAGTCGTTGTGACACATCAACTCATGATACGAATATTGAAAACTTTTAAGTAAGAGACTAGCATTAATTTTATCATATAATTATTCTTGAGATACTATAATTATTACAGTTTTAGCTAAAAAAATTTTTAAAGCGCTTTTTTTATATTACTATCATACTAATTTCACACAAAAATCATTAACAGATTTTAATCTCTGTTTTAATTATTAAACTAAAACAAGAATTCTGTCATTCGATTGTAATAACAATGACTTTAAGTAATCTGTATTGTGTGTTAATTTGAATGTATATCACCGTATGCATGATGTAACACTCGAGATAAATACGTTTACATAAGATAGTTCAAAAAAACAGACGCTCAAACACCGGTTTAAAAAAAGAATTAATTAAAATTTGAATTCTTTCTTTAAATTAGATTAATTAAATGTTTTATTATATTATTTGTAAAATTATATATATGTAGAGCGTCGTAAAAATAAGCGCCATGTTTTTCTCGTGAAAAACTCGACACTGAATTCATTCTAGTATTAATAATGCGTATTTCTGAGACACTCTATATAACGCCGAGACCCACTTGTGAACCGGTCAGATACAGTAAGGAGATCTATTCAAGCGGTAACAGTCAGTCAATAAATACAGAGGTTTCTATTCTCGTGCCGTCTTATCACAAACCTTAGTCTTAACTGCTTAAGAAAATTAACTTTGTGCTAATTATAAATTTTTTATCCAAACTTTAAAACTTTGTGCAGATTTCTCAATAGAACCATGTCCACGGACGTGCGAGGAGTTATATTGTCTGGCTCTCAATTGGCAAAGTGAGTAATATTCATTTGTTCTGCGTAGTTGTTTCAAACTCGCGAAAGAAAGATATCGATCGATTAATCTCAGTAATAGCATCGCGCTTACAACAAACGTATGAATTTCACATTGAAGATATTGAGAGAAACATTTAAAAGAATACTTGATGACATTTACAAAGAACGCATAATTATTTAACACATGCAAAAACAAAATATTAAATAACATAAGTGTCTATAAAGATAAAGATAAGATGTATATGTGTTAACTCAGACGTTAGGTATAAAATTAAAGTTTCAAGAAGAAATATCTTGCAATAAAAAACAATAGTTTAAGTTTCAATAATTGCTTAAGTTTTCTGAACTCTTTACGACTATCATGCAAAAAAATTCGTATCTTGTACACATTTCTATTGTAATTTTCTTATATAATTGGTTATTTGCGATTATTATAAAAAGATATATTAATGCTTTGCATTAATATCGTTTATTTTGTGAGGTTATGATGTTCATGTGGAATTCCACGTCCATTCATCTCACACGTGTAAAATTATAGTTCTTTATCAAGCAATATAATCACACATATAGCCAACTGTACGCTTGCGCGCGCGCAAAATAAACGCGTACTGCGTACACTGTATAACATAAATACAAATATGAAAGAATATAAAAAACCTTAATCATTATTATATAAATTATTATATATAAAAAATTTCTTTTCAATACTATTTCTTATTAAAAAAAAAAAAAACTTTATTTTTCGTGGATTTATGTGATCTATTTCTGCATTTACCGAACGCGTATGTAACAAAACTTTGCAGGGAAATTCGCGAGGGGCTGATCAAAGATGTGAACGTCTTAAAAGAAAAGTTACCTGGATTCTCACCTAGCCTGGCTATCGTTCAGGTGGGCGCGCGGGAGGATTCAAATGTCTATATAAAAAACAAAGCTAATGCTGCCCGGGAAATAGGAATCGATATTCGACATTTGCAACTTCCCAACACTATCACAGAAATGGAACTCATCAATGAGGTTACCAAGCTGAACGTTAATCCAAATGTTCACGGAATTATTGTACAAATGCCGCTCGACAGTGTCAATAAAATTAATTCTAACCTGATTACCGATTTGGTATCGCCGGAAAAGGATGTCGACGGGTAAATATATATATATACATGTTTATTTTATATACACACAGACTATCTCCAAAATATACAGATTGCTAAAGTTAGAAACACGTGTCTTACTAATCACTTAATCTTAAGAATGAGAAATCATTTTCTCTAACAATGTGTGTAACATATGTATGTTCAAAATACATATTATGAAAGAGTAACACATCGAAATTTCATGACGCATTGAACAGCGATAAGAGCGATAATAAAAAAAATTGTGCCCTTTGACACATCGCGCTGCGATAGGAAATACAGATCTATATTTGAAGAAATACATTACGTAGAGGAAAACTTTGAAGTAACTTACCATTCTAACAAACATTTTGAAAAGAACAAAACATCTGTATAAAATATATTTATCCTGTCTGACAAAATATATATTAATTATAATTTTCGAATTTCAGATTAAATACTGTTAATGAAGGCCGAGCTGCGATCGGTGATACGTCGGGATTTGTGCCGTGCACTCCGAATGGCTGCATCGAGTTAATTAAAAAGTACGTTATTTTTGTTAAATTTTAGACGCGCGGTAAAAGAACATTTCTCTTCTTATTACGCAATTATTATTAAACTGAAAAAAAAAACTTTTAGAAGCGGCGTGCCAATTGCCGGTGCTCGAGCCGTTGTTTTAGGAAGAAGCAAGATTGTCGGCACGCCAGCTTCCGAATTATTAAAGATGCACAATGCTACGGTAACAATTTGCCACTCGAGAACAAAAAATCTTCCTGATGTTGTAAGCAATCATTTTAGTCCCCGAATTCTTTCGATTTATATAAACAATAAGATAAAATAATATACATATAAGCAAAAACTACGATTAAAATTGAAAAAAAATTCTAGGTACGCGAAGCTGATATCTTAGTTGTGGCTATAGGAAAACCCGAATTTGTTAAAGGCGATTGGATTAAACCGGGCGCCGTCGTTATCGATTGCGGTATCACCTCCGTACCAGGTATATAGCTTCTTTAAATTAAACATCCGTTACACATATCATCCTTTCTTAAGTTTCTTTCCTCCTCCATTCCTTTCTCTATATGTAACACGACAGAAGACCATACGTTTCCGCTCATGCAATCCAAAGATTATGGGACGTCTAGAAAGGGAAAGAGCATAGAAAAACATGATAAGTCACATCATTAGTTTTTTAGTTCAAGTTCAGTCGCGTTCGGATACGTGCGTCACACGGACCGCGAGTGTAGTTCTACAATAACACACGAGTACACTTAAAAGCAATTATCTTTTGTTATTTCGATTTTTTATTAATAAATATGCACACTTATGTTGCAACGATAAGTATTGCAACGTCAAGGAACATATTTCAGATTCTACGAAGAAAAGCGGACAGCGTTTGGTGGGCGACGTGGACTTTAAAGAAGCTGTCAAAGTAGCATCGTACATCACTCCGGTACCGGGCGGCGTCGGGCCGATGACGGTAGCGATGTTGATGAAGAACACCGTGATATCCGCGCAAAGAATGGCACAGAAACTCCTCAACACCCAATGGAACCTACGGCCTCTCAAAATAAACCCTGTGAAGCCTGTATCGAGCGATATCGTTATTTCTCGAAGTCAGGAGCCAAAACCGATCGCTACACTAGCCGATGAGATCGGACTGATGCCGAACGAGTTCAGTCCTTACGGTAGCAAGAAAGCCAAGATCGGTCTCAGTGTGCTGCAACGATTGAAAAATCAACAGAACGGCAAGCTGGTCGTGGTGGCGGGTATCACGCCGACACCGTTCGGTGAGGGTAAGAGCACAACCACTCTCGGGTTAGTGCAGGCACTGACGGCGCACAAAGGCAAGAATTCGATCGCTACCCTAAGACAACCTAGTCAAGGACCTACGTTCGGAGTCAAAGGCGGGGCTGCCGGAGGTGGATATTCACAAGTACGGCAGAAAATTTTTTTCTTAAACAGTAAAACTATCGAATGTGAATGTAAAATCGTGAAGACTATGTGATAATTGTCAATTTTTGTAAAAAATTATTGATCGTTGACTTAACTAGCATATCGGACTGTTTTGCTTAGGTAATTCCTATGGAGGAGTTCAATCTTCATTTAACCGGTGATATTCACGCCGTTACCGCCGCGAATAATCTACTGGCGGCGCAGATCGATGCGCGATATTTCCACGAATCGACGCAGAACGACAAGGCTCTTTACGATCGGTTGGTGCCGACTATCAAGGGCGTCAGGCAGTTTTCGAAAATTCAGTTAAGACGATTGCAAAAACTGGGTATCACGAAAACCGATCCGAACACGTTAACGGAAGAGGAACAGAGTCGATTTGCAAGGTTGAATATTGATCCAGAGAACGTTACGTGGACGCGAGGTGCGACATAAAAGCTTATAAGACGTTTCTTATAAAAAAACGTACTCAAAATTGTTCTTTTTTTTTTTTGCTATAGCGGTGGATACCAACGATCGATACTTGCGGAAGATCACCATTGGTCAGAGTCCAACCGAGAAGGGCTTGACGAGAGAAACGTCGTTTCGTATTTCCGTTGGCTCGGAAATAATGGCGATCCTCGCGTTGGCGACCAGCGTCGACGATATGAAAGAGCGACTTGGCAACATCGTCGTCGCATTTAGCAAAAGCGGCGAGCCTTTGACCGCTGAAGACTTTGTTAGTACAATTACGAGATTGCGCGTCAAATAAAATATTTAAAAGATACATTTGTTACTCTCAAAAAAAATTATTAATTATTTCGAACATTTATACACGATTTGCGACAACGTTTGTATCTTCACAATCGCGCGATATAATTCCGCCGCTTGTTTAAATATCTGTTAATCTTTAGGGCATGACAGGGGCAATGGCGATTCTGCTGAAAGATGCCATAGAACCGACACTTATGCAATCATTGGAAGGTACACCGGTAATGATACACGCTGGACCGTTTGCCAACATAGCCCACGGTTGTTCATCCATTATCGCTGATGCCATTGCTCTAAAATTAGTCGGACCGGAAGGTATAGTAATTACGGAAGCCGGTTTCGGATCGGATATCGGTATGGAAAAGTTCTTCGACATCAAATGTCGCACTTCTGGACACGTGCCGAGCGCGGTTGTGCTCGTAGCGACCGTCAGAGCGTTGAAAATGCACGGCGGTGGACCGCCAGTTACAACAGGGTCTCCTTTGAAGAAGGAATATCTCGAAGAAAATCTCGATCTTATTTCAAAAGGCGCCGAAAATCTAAAGAAGCACATCAGCAACGGTTTGAAATTTGGCGTGCCCGTAGTTGTTGCCATTAACGTTCACAAGTGAGTTTCTTTTATTTTGTCGAATAAATTGTATCTTAAAAAATAGTCGTCAAAAATTGTGACACTAATTTCTCTGAAGCACGGATACTCAAGCGGAACTGGACCTCGTTAAACGTCTAGCACTCGAGAGTGGTGCAAGTGACGCTGTGATATGCACCCATTGGGCAGAAGGTGGCCTAGGTGCTTTAAAACTTGCTGATGCATTGACAGCCGCTACAGAAAAACCTAACAACTTCCATCTATTGTACAATCTTGATAGCAGTATTGAGGACAAAATCAATAAAATCGCTAAGGAAATGTATGGCGCTGGCCAAGTCGTTCTCGCGGAAAAGGTAAACAAATATTTTGTTTTTTTTTTTTCACAAAACAATATAAAAATTTCTCATAAGAAAAACCAACGCGCTGTATTACACAAAACTTATATCATCTTGTGTTCACGATTGTAATGTATAATTTTTTCTATTCGGGTATTACAGGTGCAGAAAAAGATCGAAGAATATAACAAATTGGGATATAACAAATTGCCGCTATGCATGGCAAAAACATCGAATTCGTTAACCGGAGATCCGTCTATCAAAGGCGCACCGACCGGTTTTACTCTCAATATTACGGACATATTCGTTTCCGTAGGCGCCGGATTTGTCGTTCCTATGGTGGGAGAGGTGAGGAAAAAGAATGAACAAATTTGTTTTCGTTAATTGTTCAATTGTGAAAACTGAATCGGTTAAATAATTCTCTTTGCTGATTTTACATTTCAGATTATGATGATACCTGGACTTTCGACTAGACCATGCATCTACGATATGGATCTGAATAGTGAAACGAACGAGATAGAAGGTCTGTTTTGAAAACAGACATTTATTTTTTTCTGAAGAAAATGAATTTTGTACGCAACAATTTGTATGTTAAAATATAAACAGTTAACAATAAATATTTTTCTACTCAAAATTCTTATTTATTTTTTGTACACAGTATATGCATGAATAACACATTTGAAATAAACACGCATATCGTAATTACATAAATCTTAATTTACTCGTGCGCACATTGTGATAGAAAATATTAATTATTGTTCAAATAACACATATGCGCATTGGAGGAGAGATAATTTATTTTACTTTGACAATAGCGCGAAACTTTGCCGATCGCGATCTCGGGTTTGTCTCGATTTCTTCATCTGTGGGCGTCAAAACATGTTTGTGCATCATTTTCCAAGGTGGTTGCACCAACGTTTCGACTTCCTCTTTATCAAAGACTTTAGCGTAATTCGCGTATCTTAAAGCCACAGTATTAGCCATGTTATCTTTTATGTTACCAGAGATGTGTCTCTTGATTATGGTATCTTCGAGCGAGTGAAAAGAGATCGTTATCAAACGGCCGTGAAGTTTCAGATACATTTGCGCGAGAAGTACGCCGTAATTGATTTCATTTAATTCGTTATTGACAAAAATCCTAAGTGCTTGAAACGTTTTTGTGGCAGAGTGCGCAAATCTACCGAGACTGTCCCTTCTGATTTCACCATCCAAAGTGGACTCGATCAGCAGAGCCAGTTCTTTTGTCGTTTCTAACTTTCTAAACATATATCTCGCCTCGACAATAGCACGCGCGATTTTTTTGGCACGCTTCTCTTGCCCATAAGTTTTTATAATGCGGATCAAATCCTCTTCCGTCGATCTTTCTAAAACATCAGCAGCGGTAGGCTGTTCCGGGTATCGAAAACCGTCCATTCTCATATCTAACGGCCCGTCTTTTGATAACGAAAACCCTCTCTCTGCCACGTCAAATTGCATTGATGAGCAACCGAAATCAAACAAAAAGCCATCTATACTATTTGTCTTTACATTGTGTTCTTTCAATAATTGAGGTAACTCGGAAAATCTACCTAACAAAGGAATTATTTTATCCGGATATTTCTTTGACAATTCTTGCGCATAGTTGTAAGCTACTGGATCTCTGTCTAACGCAAATATTTTTATGTCAGATGACTGTTTTAAAAGTCTAATAGAGTGCCCACCAGAACCAAATGTCATATCTACATATGTCTTGCCTGCTGATGGCTCCATGTAAGACAATACTTCCTGTGCCATAACAGGCACATGAGAAGAATTGTTGTTACCAAAGGAGACATCATTATCTAGACTATATTCTCTAATTGAGCCTATCAAGTTACCGTTTGCACATACTAATGTATGTGTCTTGTTCGTAAAACATCTTTTCCTGACAAACTTATTTACAACACATCTAAGCATAATTCTAATCATCATTAACAAATCTTTTTATCCTTCCATATACTCTGCTAACAAAATTCTTATCTTCCTCTTTAAGAACCTCTAACATTTCTGGAGTCAGCACCATGTTACATTGTTCCCTGTTCAATCCGCTTGCAGTGCTCAGCAAAGAGCGTTTGTAAATCTGCCCATGATAGTCGGACGATATTCTTTTCAAACTTGCGTAATATCGATTGCACAGTTCTGGATCCAGTTGAGCTGCTTCACCTTTTGCAAAAGCAATCTTGATCTGATCACGAATGTGTTGTCCCAAATCACTAAAATTCATTCGATTATAAACCATAAATATCTAGAAAGAACCTTTAAGTATTATTTTGAGCAATCCAAATACAAATGGACAAACACCGTGTTTTGTTTTAGTTATTAAAACCAAGACGTAAAAAAGCATTCTAACCTGATATTTTTAGAAGCACATGTTCTGATATGATCAACATTGAATCATTGTGAAACTTAAAACTTACATATATATAAAAATAATCTAGCTTTCCCCACCATTTTGTAATATAATTACCTGCCAACTTTAGATTTGTCCAGTGGCCAAGACTCCAACAATTTTATAAAATTTTTGTAATTACCGGCCATAACGATACGCAGACCTAATTTTAAGTGACGTGCAGAGATCTGTGTACTCGATATTAAGCAAGTTTGTAAAATCTATCTTACCGACTGTTTGTTTCTCTATTGACGGTAAGTATTCGAGAAAATGTTTTTATCATTGCTCAAAAGTACAACCGAAGATAAGACTGAAAGCTGCCGGGGAGCCCATGTCCACGGGTGGTGCACATTGGAACTACGCAGCCATGTCCACGAGCAAGCTGTCGGTATGTATCACCCGTGGACATGCTCTAGCTTAAGCCTGTTCTACATTAATCGCAAGCGCAAACGCAGGGAACAGATCTGGTAGAATTGACTAATCGTATTGATCAAATCAGCCAATTGACCAGCGTGATTGGTCAATTCTACGAGATCTATACCTTGCGTTTGAGCTTGCAATCAATGTAGAACGGGCTTTATGAGCCTGGTCGTTCTCAGTCTTCTCTCTCGACGAATTCGATTGGATGCACTAGTGCGCACTGAGTGCGTCTTCTTTCAATGTGTTGTAGAATATTTCAGTGTTGGTATTTTACTAAACACTGAAAGAGGACGCACTCAGTGCGCACTAGTGCATCCAATCGAATTCGTCGTCTGGTATGGCCTTGACCGCTCTTAGGTCCGAATTTTGTCTCCGATTTCAAATTTCAGCTCTCAGGGTGCGATTCCACATAAGTTTTATGATGGAATTGCACTCTGAGAGCTCTGAAATTTAAGATCGAAGACGAGATCTAAGATTTGAGAAAAACGACTATACGTATATGAATTCGGACCTCTGTCCTTTTCTCTGATCGTCGCGACGCGCGTTTGCCGCGCATGCTCGTTGCGAGAAATCGGTGTCGCAAGGTGTACTGACTGTTGCACATCTATACTTACCGATGCGTCTGTGGTTTTGGAGAAGGTGCAAACGCTACGCTATCGCAAGCAGAGATGCCGAATCGTGCAGGACAACGCATCGAGAGTATCGAAGAGTATCCCTACCTCCTCGAAACTCTCGTACGCGTACAAGCGAGAGCAGCACGCGAACGCTAATTTTCTCTCGAATGCTGCACGATCTGGCATCTCTGATGTGCCACGCAAGTGGTCGTTGATCTGCCATCGCTGATGGTTGCTCGTGACGAGCGCGAGGAACCGTCGTTTACCCCTGGTGTTGTTGAACTTCTACGATTTCTTCCGTGACTTGATGTTTCAAAATGGCGATGGTAAAACTTGAGAACTGTGTCAGACTTGAATATACGAAAGAAAATAGATAGCACGGAAGCGTTTTCTCTCGCTAAAGGTGACCTTGAAATATAGTACATAGGTACCGAAATATTCACGATTTTATTCTTAAAAAAATTGCAATATATATATATAGTTGTAACGTGACAAATGTATGGTGAGATGAAATATACACACATGATTGAATACGTACTTATTTTCAGATTATGTACTTTTGTATATTTAACATTATGTTAAATATATTGAAACCGCAATATCCTGCGCAAATGATCTCCTGCGTGAAATCCATAACCTTCCAAATGCTCTTCCTGCTTAGGTAACTCTAACCTCTGTATTGATAAACTATATAAACGTAAGAATTACAATTCAAACCTCAAGCTATACTGTGCTAGTGTATGTGGACAAAATTTATTACAAACAATTATAACAAATTTGTTCAGATTTTGTTTTATGGAACTGTATAATAATTTGTGTGCCATTTGATCTTTTGTCAATTTATATAATTTGGATGAATATTTATTTAATACAATTAAGTATAAAAATGTAAAACATTCAGCATTTGCGCAAGTTGTAAAAACATGAAGCAAAGTATATTACTGAATTTGCAATAATAACAAAAATACACGCGTTTCTCCGTCAAAAATTGTTAGGTTAGGTTAGGTTAGGATTTATTGTAATACGCCAAATTTGATACTGTGTTGTAATGATTTAGTTATTTCAGTTGTGTTTTAAAACGTGATAACATTTTTGTGTAATCAAATTTTTGACTTCTGGTACTAAACATTCTACTCTTAAATATCTTTATATCTCATACTCTTTTGATAATCAAACACTAAAATATAATAACGGAACTGTCTGAAATCCGTTTCAAAAATTTTGAATAAAATTTGTATTTTTAACTATATACTCATATATATTAATATTTTTTTTATGTATGTTTATACTTTAATTTCGTATATTATTGTCAATATCTAATCTTCGTATCGTAGAACGTGCAGCTGCAACAAACCAGCAGCATATGGTGGTGTCATCATTTGTCATTTAAATTTAAATGGCTGCTGTGCGCGCATCAGACGTAATTTAAATGGACGCGGCGCTGACACAAAAATCAGGTGGTCGCCAGTGCTTGTGTGTGTACGTACATGAATGTTTGACTTCACATCTAAAACGAATTCTTTATCGCAATACCAAAATAGTCATTTTATCATGGAGCGATCATTTACGAACACAAGAATGACAACATTTTGAACAAGATACTTTAAGAATCGTTCGAGGCAATGCGATCTTTTTCGAAATTTAGTGAAAAAACAATGGAACTAGTTTTCCGCGAAGTGATATATCGATGAGCGTAATAATATCGAGCTTGATTCACAAAATTTTTTCGATTTAATCTCTCTCGATCATTTCTTGTCGCGAATGACAATAACAAAAGTACATTGTGAAGTTTTCAAACGGGTTTGTCGCGTGAATGTTTGTCGCGAGATACACCGACATTTTTGCAAAAAACAAGAGAGTCGGTGTGTAACGCGCACTATTACCGCGCACACGATTCGCGACAACGAAAACGCTCATTGGACGAGCTCGGAACGAAGCGTGCGATTGGCAGCGTTCACGCACACTACGACAAAAATCACGGTTTCATATTCGACGTGAGATCGTCGCACGTCGTTGCAGAACCCAGCGCTTCGGCCATAGAAATACGCCTTTGGTTTTTCCCTCCAATATCAATTATAATCCCAGTAACGCAACTTTTTACGAAAACTAAAGGCACGGTCAATGTTACGTTACAAAAAAACGACATGATGCAAAGCTAACCGATATCTTGACCAAAAGTTATATTGTTCAACGATGTTTTGTTTTTAAAAGTGCAAAACTGCAACACTGCGACTGAAGAAATTGTTTAAAATAAATGTTTTACCTGTCATTTAGGTATCTACATGGTTTTTAGGTATCTTCGGAACTTCATTTCTAACTTTCTTATTCTCTCAGCTTTCGGGTGAGGCTGAGAGAACGGAGGAATGTGTCGGGGCACTCGGAACGCATTGATACGATTATGGTCGCCCAGTGGTTGCCGGGCAAAGCGGCGCGAGGGCCGGGACAAAGGGGGATCCGCACTCGCGCACTCACACACCGTCGGTACACATTGGCGCACAGCCAACAGCGAATTCGTTCGCCGGCTCTGAACAAGAACGCGTCGTCGCCGACATACACAGCGTGAGCGCCAACCTAAATCGAGAGGGAATACCATACATATAGATAACGCACGGCTATTAATCCTACGGTCGTGGGCGAGTCGTTGGTGAAAATGGCCGGGGAAAAGCGCAGCCAGGATAAGGACGAGGTCTTACACGCGACGGCGGTCCTTGTCGACATCGAGGGTACCACCACGAGCATCAGCTTCGTGAAGGTAACGCACAAAGCCGATCGAGTGAAGAACCGCGGACATGAAAACGGCGCGAGCGCGTTTCTCCTCGCAAAATCAACTCGGCCACGCCGTGTCGGTCGTTTCGGTTTTTGATTCCGGGCGGTTGGGAGGGTCGGGAGAGAATCTCGCGAGAAATTTTTACGGGGCGACGACGACACGCAGTCATTCAGGACGAATCCGCGACATCCGGGAAGTTGTCCGGATTTTCGCGGGGCGGTCTTATATATATGATGGAATTTCGCACAGCGGGTTATTGTCCTCGCGTCGGGGCGGTGTGCCGGCTCGAATCGCGAGTTCTCGACCGACCATGAGAGTCCACCACCACCACCATCACCGCCGCCACCGCCACCGCCACCGCACCATTGCCGCTGCCCGTGTGTTTGTGAAACTGGATGAAAAATCGAAAAAAAAAAAAAAAATACGAGAATCGGCTTCGAATATCTGCTCCGAATTTTCGAGCAAGGAAAAAAAATGCAAACCGGCCGCTTTCTGGCCGCCAGAGACGGGCCGTGAGAGAATCGAGCACCGAATCGAGAATCGAAAACAAATGCTACGATCTTTTTATAGATGTATATTGACGCGGCGCGTCGAGACGCCGCCGAACGGCGCCGAGAATGGGAGACACGCGTGATTTTTCCCGGCGAGCGTTTTTTTCCGCGAATCGCGGATGGCATTTTGATCCTTATGCCCATGTTTCTTTACCTCGCAGGACGTCCTCTTCCCTTATGTACGGCAGAATCTAAAAAACTACATCGAGACAAAATGGGAGGACGAGGAGTTCAAACAGGACTATGAAAAATTAAAGGAGCAGGTAAATATAATAGGAACTTGTGACCAGTTGAAAAGGAATAGATATAAAGTTAGAACTTTGATTGTCATTCCCTTCTCCCTAGTTTTGCAGGAATAACAAGAGAAACATGTCTTGTCTTTGTTGTAAGATGATTATTTTTATTTACTAATAATTTGTGTTTTTTACATTGAATTCAAAGAATTTCTTTTTTCCTTTAGGATATTACACTTTGTATCTTTATTTTGAATAATAAAATTTTAAATGTTTTTTAATATCTTTTATGTCATGATAAAACAAATATTATTTCTTAAGATTTAGTTTAAGATGTTTTGTTGTAAATTTACTAAAATTTTTAGTGAGTAGATAAATCAATCTGTGTGAATGTGTATGTGTATGTTGAACTGTTTTGTTATTTCAAATACATGATAATAGAGAAGTTTTAATATGTAAAATATTCTGATTTTTTTCTACCTTTCTTGATAACATCAAAACTTTTGTTGATTCACACATTATTAGTATTATATTTCTTTTTTGTTATATAAACAATCTGTTTTATTTAATATTGAGTTTAGCATTAACTATTTTTAAATTGTGTGTATTCTCTCTCTGTATCTGTATGTGACATAAATACAATTGTTTTGTGGACATGTACACATAATGTAAACAATTGAAGTTTTATCATTTTTGACTCTTATGTTTTTTTTTTCATATGCTTTTTTAATTAATATATTGTCAAAACAGTTTATATTTCTTTTAATGTGCTATTTTAGGCAAAAAAGGACAGTGAGGACAAATTAGATGGTTTTGTAGCTATTGCTGGAGATAAACCTGAAGAACAGAAAGAGTCACTTTTAAACAATGTTTTATGGCAAATGGATAATGATCGTAAAACAGGTGCATTGAAGCAATTACAAGGACATATGTGGCGTGAAGCATACAACACAGGAGCAGTTAAGGCTCAGTAAGTTATTTTATCTTATTTTTCTTGCAATCTTTTTCTATTGTTTTATTTTTATTCAACATTACACACATAAAATCTACAATATATAAAAATCTTTTTCAGAGTGTTAATTTATAAAAACTATTGTGTGAACAGTAAATATTCAGTAAACTTTCTATTATATATTCATCAAACGTATATACAATATACAAAATTATAATTTCTAATTTAACAAATAATGAGGTGAATATGTAGTATTTGGGCTCACTTCAGTTGTGTCTTATTTATATTACTTTTTATAATTTTTTGTAAATACATATAATACGAGATTTTATGATATATATATTTATTTTGTATTTTATAGTTTTATATTTTTAAAAATTGTTTTATTAATATATGATATTTATATTGTATGTGTGTGTATATGTGTGTGTATTATACGCTAGGTAAAATATTTTATATATTTAAATATGGCAAATCTAAGAAACTACACAAAATTGAATTTTGATATGAAATATTGTGTTAATGAAAATGAAAACAAACATATGTGCAAGATTCTCTCTAGAAGTCAACTATTAGAGAAATAAGACCACAATAAGAGCTAAACGGATGCGTAACTTATGGTTTTAATTTTCTTGATCAGTTATATTAAGATTTTGACTTTTTCAAATAAATATTGTTTTGTAAATAAATGTAGTTTACTACAGTTTCATAATTACAAAATTAAAATCAATTATAAAAATGATTATTTGATCAAACATTTTTTAACATTAAGTTTCAAGACAGTATATGTCTGTGTTTAGTGTTTATGAAGATGTCCCTAAGGCTTTAGAAGCGTGGACAAAAGATGCCAAAAAAATATATGTCTATTCAAGCGGTAGTGTTGAGGCGCAAAAGCTTCTTTTTGGACATTCCGTACATGGAGATTTACTCAAGGTACAATAATCCAGTATCCTATTCTACAATTGAGAAATCTGAACTATGTTCATATGTTTTAAGTATGTTTTTTGTTAAAACTTCACAAATATGTGTTGAAACTGTGTTGTTTCTTGTTTTTTTTTCTGCAGTATTTTAGCGGTTATTTTGACACAGAAGTTGGTGCCAAACAAGAAAGTGATAGCTACAAAAATATTTTAAAAAAGATTGGTGAACAACCTTCGAATGTCGTTTTTCTAACCGATGTTGTAAAGGGTTCGTATATTTCTTTTTTTTTATTTAATATTGTGAAACATTAAATAATAATTTTATACTATGTTGCATGTTGTTAGATTTATCACATCGTGTTTGGACGATGTCTACAAATAGTTTGTTTCTCTACTTATTTCTCTTCCTTAATCGATGACAGAAGCGGCAGCTGCTAAGGAAGCGGGATTATTAGCGGTCGTAGTAGAACGCGAAGGTAATGCCGCCCTAACTGACGAAGAAAAGGTCAAGTACACAACTATCAAATCCTTCTTGGATTTGTCATTTCAATCGTCTTCGAAGCGAGCAAAAATGGACATAACAGATGAAAAAAACGATAAAACTACAGCTGACAGTAGTGAACCAATGGATACTTCTGAGGATGTAGAAATGTCTGAAGTCGCCGATAAAAAGACTGAAAAAATCGATGGAAAGGATGTAAATGGATCAGAAAAAACACAATGTTCGAAAAACAAACCGTCAGAAAATGCTTCAACTTCATTGACAAAAGATGAAGAGTCAGTAGCAGTTGAGAAAAATCCATCAAATATGGAACAGGAAACTTCACTTGCTGAAGCTAAAGAAGCTAATGCCAAATCCAAAGATACAGACGGAGAAGTAGCTGCTTCTGAAAGTGCAGAAAAGATTACTGAGAATAATATTACAACGAAAGACAACGATAAAGTCACAGAAAAGACTGAGGAAAACTTGAATGCGGCCAAGACTGAGATTCCTCCGACTACCGATGATGCTATGGACGTGTCGTTGTCAGAGTCTACATCGAAGTCTGAAAATATTCCCACGTCTTCCGAAAAAAAGACTGAAGATTCTACAAACATTGTAAAAGATACACAAAAAAATGAAGTCATCGACAAAATTCAAACAAATGAAAAAAGTGAAAATAACGAGAAGACAGATGATGCGATTGAAGCGAAGGCACAAACTTGCGACAAAATTGTAGCAGATAAACCCGAAGAATGTTTGGCAGCTGAAAAAGAAAAAGAAAAGGTAAAGGAAGAATCAAAAGCCGAAGCAAAAGAAAGCGTGGATGTTGTAGCAAAAAGTGAACAAGAAGAAGTAACAAAAATGGATACGACTACAGATGTTATCGAAAATGGGAAACCTCTAGAAGCAACCGAAGAAGAAAAACCCACAGTGTCGCCAAAAGAAATGGAAGCGACAACTAGCACAACAGAGTCAAAGAAAGAAACAACGACACCAACTGAAACGTCCGTAGAAAAGAGTTCGGAAACAACTGCGGAACCCGAGAAAGTCGAAGAAAAAACGCCCCAAGCAATGGAAACGGAAGAAACAGCGGCGAGCAATGTCGAGAAAAGCGAGAACGAAGCTGCGAAGCAAGAAAAAGGAAAAGAAGAAGAGACAGTGAAAGAGAATGTGGTAGACAAGAAGGACACAAATACAGTGGATTCAGAAAAGCAAAAACTCAACGGAGCCGCGCAAAATGGAGATACGGATGTGCCAGTGTTGGATGACAAATTGCACAGTAACGGACTGAACGAAGGGCAATCGAAGGAAACGACGAGTGAAGACGCTGCGGCGCAAAACGGTGAGCCCGAGAGTTCGTCAGAAACTAGTGCGGAAACCATAAAAGTTAAAAAGGTTGTCGATTCCGCCGTGGTCGACGCTGCCGGAGAACCCGACGTTGTTCCTCCTGTAGTTGTAGCGACATCTTAACTTTGTTCTTATACAGTTTAAGGAAGTCCCTCATGCATAACCCCAATCCACAAGTACTTATTCGCAGGTATAAACTGACATAAATTGATTCCATATACTTTACGTAAAAAAAAAAAAAAAAAAAAAATCGTACTACGTCGAAAATGTAAGTCGCTACTTTTAAGATGCAGTTCATAAAACTACCGTTCGTTTCGGCGACTATTAACGAAAGATAAAAAAAAAAAAAAGAAAAAAAAGATAGCAAGATGTACTACGAAAAAGACGCTTCAGATTTGATTGTTTTTTAGATATTAGCTGTACATTTTTACTTTCCTTGATGGTAATAGATTTCTGTTGTATTGTGCCGATGTCGTTAAAAGTTGTATGTTATGTCGTGTAATACGCTGATGCTTTCTTATATCGCGAAAGTCGGCTTTTATAGTCGTTAGTTCTTTCACGTTTGCTTTCTTTGTAACAATTTACGTTTGATCATTGACGGCAACGCAATGACTTGTTATAATTGAACTTGCAAAAGTTTCGTGTCTAGTAACTTCGCGCGTCAAATCGGTCTGGAAGTAATCAAACATGTCGCGCGCATCACACACTCACACAATACACGTATACACATACACATTCGTTGTAATCAATTACGTGTTTTTTTTTTTTTTTTTTTTTTTTTTTTTTTTTTTTTTTTTTTTTTTTCCCTCTAAGTATCGCCAAGTTACTCTTACATGTATTGACATGTATTGACATCTTTTATACCGCCTAAAACAGAATGATTATACTTGAAAACTAATAGGATAGGTAATTTCAATGTAGTTGCAGTTGTATGTTAAAATGTCGATTGTATATGTGCCAAATGAATTTGACGGCTTGATAGTTCTGCTTCTTTTCGTTTTTTGTTTTCTGTATTCTCTTCCCAATAATTGAACATAACATAGGTACCAAAAGATCTGATCGATGTTTTATGTCATGAGAGTAATATCGGTTTTTTTTTTGTTTTTTTTTTTTAAGACTGAAATGGTAACGCTTCGAACTGCGCCGTAGATTATATCATAGATTTTCGTCGCGCACATCATATTTCGACTTTGTGAACCGTTTTACTGATGCATCTCGAGTCTGAATAAATTGTAGATACACCGTGCAAATAGACGTCATTTGATTACGTTGCTCTTTTGCTCATTACGTTGTCGTTTTATGTAGGGTAATTAGATATTCTTTTCTTAATATATACATGTATGTATTAAGGCTTTTTGCATCGATACGCTTTCTGCCATCGTTTTGTCTGCCTAACATGGTTTGCGTATATATTTTTTTTTTTTTTTTACTCAACGTTAAGTCACGTTGAAAAATACACTTGCTGACGTTGCTTAAAAAAAAATTAACTTCGATATTCTGACATTTTGTGATTTAGGCTTGAAGGTTTGAATGGCTTCATTGTTTATTACTTGACTGATCTGATGATTAAAATTTACAGTTACGTGATCACATTCATGCATTCACTCTCTTTTCTATGTTGAATCACAATGTGTTCTGGAATTTACTCGCGGAGGAGCATATCGATTCGTAGATTTACTCTGTCATTCCTATAAATTAATTGAGTTGTTCGAAGTTCGTGCGCGTGTTGACGCGCGCATTATCACTTCTCACGTAATCCAAAATAAATATAAGATAAAATACGAACTCTCTCACGCGGAGGACGCTGTTAAACTGCCACTTGGATTGCGTGCGATATGATAATGCAGAAATAGTGCGCGTAAACCGTCGCTCATTTTCTTACGATGCTCAACACACCTGATGTGAAAACTTTATATTAGAAGATAATAATAATAAGTAATAATGATAATAGCAGTTATATAAAGTGAGATCGCGCTTTCGGTCGAGAATTGATTATTATTACTTTTACTGTTATATCGATTATGTCCATTCCTGTTGAATTGACTGTGATTTAAAATGTTAATAGAAATAGGTTTTCCCGAAACGAATTCGTTATTATCAATGCACAAAGATCATCTTCGTTCTACGTGATGTTCCGTTTGGCGACTTAGATTTTTATTCGAAAGTGTCTAGTCGAAGACATCTCATTTACTGGCGGAGATTTCTATAGATCGATAAACGATTTCGCGTCACGTTTGCCTTGTGTTATGTTCGCCAACTATGCTAGGGAGACGCGATGAGAAAGAAATGCGGCATGTCTCGTACGTCTATCTAATAAAGTGCGCGTGTAAACAAGAGCAAACAGAAAATTAAATACGAGCAAGCATCGGTTTGATACTTTGCGATATATATATATATATACTCTTGACAGACCTCGCATATTTTTTATTTATAAGTCGTCGCCGTCGCCGTTGTCTCGATGAGGCGCAGACAATTCGATAATTGCGATGATCATCCTCGCCAATACATCAACTCGTCTCGAAGTAGTCAGCACAAACTTATACTCTAGTAAGTACTTTCCGCCTCAGCGCGCCAGATTTGCCGAGTTATCGATAGTCGAAGATCAGCGATCAGGTCATTTTTATGCACGATCGTGTGTGTAACGACTAAAACTCATTTATTCATTCCATCATGAGCGTACACATGTTTTAATGATGGTGATTTTTAATAGCGAACTACGAGAAAGAACGAGAAGATTGGGAAATCAAATATCGTAAGAAAGAGACGCAGAGTGCAACTATCACTGCAATTCTTCCCAATCTGCTGGTTGATGCTGTTATCACACACTATAAAAGTCAATAAACTGTCATTATTTGCGACACGAGATAAGCTCGAGGGTGAGACGACAATATGCTCCGAATTCTTTCTCGAGTACTTTTTATACGTCGTTCAATGTCATGTCACTTTAGTTTTATTTTTTTCCATTGATGTGCGTTAGTTTTGGGAAGATCGGAGAAAAAAACATATTTTGATCGCACTCTCGAGCGATCTCAATTCTCGAACACGATTGATCCTCGCATATAGTCTTCACAAACATTTTTTAATGCCGTAATGATACTGCCAATGCGAAGAGAACTAACATAACGATTACACACATAATTGCCAAGACGTTGCATTTAATCTACTATTTTAGATTGTATCATTAAGCTTTTTAGAAGAATTAATCAAAATTTATGCGGCGTTGAACGTATCAGCGACATCTGATTTTTCCTAAGTTATAGATAAGTACGAGACGTGTTAAGACTCACTTTGTTGATTACATTTTAACTCGGGGAGTTAAATCGAAAATTAAGTCAACTCCCGCTATCGCGTTCGGGCCTACAACTGTCAGATTTTCGGTTTTTCAATATTAAATAATATCCTGCATAATATTCGACTATCTTTTAGATTTTATTGTTTTTTATAAGAAGGATCGCGTTGTACAAGATTCACATATATTTTTTTAACACGTATAGATCTTTTACCGCATAGAGCTTTTGGTCGTAATATAAACAATGTTATAATATGTGTGAATACGATTATTGAGTATGTTTGTCAAACTGTGCTCTCGAGAAAGAAATAAATTAAAGGCTCGAATGCGTTAGATATAATTTTAACTCGCGTATCAGACTCTTCATATATACACACGTGGGTAAACAGACAGTCAATACGACACTGCCTATGGTTAACTATCACACCGCGACAGAAAATGATCTAAATTAAAATCCACATCAATCTTTGATTTGATTTGGCATCAAATTTGTTTTGATTCTGAAACAACATATGTAAATTGCGATTCTGGCGAAAGATGAAAAAGAGGATCCTCTGCAGCATCTCGTGGTCCTTTTTACGAGCGCGATAATTTCATCATCATGTTATGGAAACGAGACGATCGAACAAAATCTCTCCAGCGTAGGACTACTAACACAACAATAACCTCATACTCACTAGCGATATTATTGTTTGTAAAATTCATATTGGCTGTATTATCTTTAATACATCAATATAATTTTAGGGAAGACATAAGGATTTTTTTATCGATGACTTTCTTATAACTTTTAAGAATATCCCCCTCGCGAGATGAGTGGAAGTCAAATATCAACAAAATTTTAGTTAGTTTTATGTATTTTTAACTTTTTAAAAATACATACAATACTTGTGTATTGTTTAATATAGTAGCTAAAATCATACCGTACTAATATATTCTACATAAACTGATTTTGACATTAAATGTTATAACTCAAAGCACATTTGGTTATCATAAAAAAATTCAGCTGATATTTAGTTTTTATTAAACAAACTAAATATTGGATCATTATGCTAGAATAATACACTTGATGTTTGACTTTCATTTCTCAGTTCCTACGAGATTTTTCTGGGTTTTTTTTTTTTTTTTTTTGTTTTTCTTTCGCTCTTCTTTCATCTTTGTTTTTACATTTATACTTTCGACAAAACATCTGACGTTTCTCTCCAAGAGAGATTATAATTCCAAGATAACTGTCTTTCGGTGTGTTGTAGATAGCAATGTGTGTACGTTAAACTGTGGAAAAAAAATAAACGGTCTCGTTTGGTTTGGTTTGATTTATCTTTTAGTTATTATTCACATCTGTCATGCAAATTAATGTGTGGAGACCCATATATATATATATATACACAATATATGTATATATTATTTAAGAAATAATATATATAATAATATATACATAATATTTCTTAAATAATACAAGTCTCAAAAGGCGTGCGCTGTACAGAACAAATCGATAAGATTTTGTTCTCTCAGGATCTTGACTGCAGTAGTAGAGCGAAATAAATGAAATTTTGCAAGTAGAATTGCGGCGTTTGTTTTCATTTCTGTTTTCTCCCATAAATTATTATCGTAAGCGCAACGTAACACACATGAATTAAACTAAACATCTGTATAGAATAAAGAGAGAAGCTGCCGAAAAGTTAAAGGCTTACCATAAGTTAGTCGATTGTGTATCCTTTCTTTGACTCGTCTATTCGAGACTATCGTTAGTTTAAGTAACAGTAGATTAACTCACACACAGTAGATGTAACTTATCGCGTGATACGATATAGCAAACTAGTAGCAATAGCAGCCTATACTTTGAGCTATTATTTTAAGGAAACAAAATACTTTTTAATACAATTTATCGAATTTAACAGTTGATGGAACGTGATGCAAACGGAGATTGTGGCCGGTGTTCGTAGTTCGATTTTATATTCAAGATCTTATATTCAAGTCTTTGAGTTCATTTTACGATGTTGTACTGGTCGTTTTACGACCGCTTAGTGTCTCGAAATGAACTTAAACGATCTCAGGTATAAGATC